CGAGTAGCCCTTCTCCGCCAGCCACTCGGCGATGGCGTCGTAGTTGGACTCCATCCAGCCGACGTTTCCCTTGATCTCCTCCAACACCTGCTGGATACTCCGCTGGTTGGCGTCCATGTCCTTCACTTTGCTCTTCAAGAAATCTTCCACCTGGAATGAAATCTTTGTTTAGAGTTCCTTTGCCTGGAAGACGAAAGGGGATGTGATTTATCGCGATGATATTTATCGAAGATTAAGAAGGGCGTATTAATATATATATATATATATATATATATATATATATATATTATATATATATATATATATTTATATATATATATTTACATATATGGAGAGAGAGAAAAAAAGAGGCCGAGGTAATCATCTGATGTGCCTCCAAAGCTCAACATCTTACCTAGAGTTCGTGAGGCCCCAGTTTCCCAAGGCTAAGGCCGACAAGTCTGGCAAAGCAACCATGTCCTGCTTCCGGAGAGGGAAGGAAATGTTGAAGTAGTCCTCGTAGAAGTTCAAAATCTTAGGCCCGATGGAGGCTACGTATCTTGCATTCTCTATGGCTGATCTCCGCGCCCAAACTGTCGAAGGACGTGTGGGAAGTCACAAATATAGAATTATGTATAACATGAAGTGTATCGGTGTGTCTTCTCATACACAGTAGAGTATTATTACCTCTGAACTGCGCTTGGTCGTCTTTCCAAGACTCTATGTATGTAAAGTCTGAGACGAGGAAGGCGACGAGGTAGGTGGACATGGGGACGCTCCTCTCGAAGCGGTCCCACACCCAGCCCTCCTGACCCTCGCGGTTATTGTTAAAGCATCTGTTATTCAGTGGAAATCTCCTCAGGGGGAATTCGATACATTTTTGAAAAACTTTGACGATACGGTAACGATTCGTCAGTACTCACACAGGCCGAGTCTCGGCGAGGGGCGTGTTGGAGAGTGACGTCATCCAGGTCTCCCTCGCCAGGTGGACCTCGAAGGTCGCCTTCAGGGCTGGCTCGTCGAAGCACGGGAAGGCGCGGCGGGCGTCCGTGGGCTGGAATATCGTCGCGGCCACGTTCCTGCCCAGAGTTAATTCATGTAATAGAGGCACAGAAATCATAAGCAGCATTCAGTTTTGTTTACCTCTGGTGTATGGGATATTACTTTGTAGTTCCGTCGATGTCTGTGTAGGTCGATTTGAAGAAGCCTTTAAAAACGCCCAGGATCCCGAGGAAGTCCATCGACAGCACGTACTTCTCGGCCTTTTCCAGCTGCTTCTCCAGGTGGGCGATGTAGAACTCGCGCTCAGGATCGTACTGCTGCTTCTTGATGCCTACAGATGCCGTTCCATTCAGAGCGGAAACCTAAACACACGAGAAAAGAAGATTTCAGAATTTATTGTAAAAAGATGGATCAATCAAAATATCAGTTTTGTGCTGCATTTTATGTGTATGTCTGTCTCTCTGTCTTTCTGCTTGTCTATCTGTTTGTTTATGCAAATATAGAAAGCGGCTTTCCAATCCTAGAGACAACCAAATAGTCACCATTACATACCTTGACAGTGTCATTTTTAGTGATGATGTCGGCTAAGTGGAGCGTGATGTTGGAGGTCGGCTCCAGGACCTCCATCTCCACCTCCACGTAGCCGAAGATGCTCAAGTTACCGTTGATTAAAGGCTGAAGTCTGATCAAGTAGTGGAGGGGCTTGAGAGACCGAGGAAGTCTGATGTCCAGCTTCTCTTTCTCATTGGCTCCGAGTGTTGCCACTGTTTGGTTCTGTTTGAAATTAACATAAATTGACCGGCTGACTTGGTTACAGGATGATGCTTAGAAAGTAAACTCTTTAGTGTGGTTACATGGATAAATATCGTGCGTAGTGTGTTGCAAAAAGTGAAGTTGTGTGCCTTATTTCCTTATCTGTAAGTGTGTTATACAGTCACTTAGGTAGGGAATGCAGAATGTAAGACAACATGTATGGGAACACAAATTTCTTCAGTTACAAGGCATGGGTGTTTCTCAGCACTGATATGCTTTAACCAAGCATAAAAGGAGCAAACAGGGTCAAACCTTGTCTAAGCTTCTCTGTAATAAAGAAGTTAGAAACCGGTATAGAAAACAAGAGAGGATGGGACGGTGATAAGGCCCGTACTTTTAAAACCTTTCGCCAGGGCTGGCGAAAGGTTTCGCCGGGCGATCCGGAATTTCGTACTTTTAAAATCATGCCTGGCGAACGTTCGCCAGGGCTGGCGAAGATCATATTGGAACAGCCTGGCGAAGAGAGCTGTTTGAATACCATTTTCAAATTATAAATTAGTAACATATTTGTGTATGATAGGATGTAGGAATCACATTGAAATTATAAAATATCTCAAAATCATAATTTATTATGAAAACGTATATACGTATTTTTTTCAAGACCGATGTTCCAGTCGAGAGCTCAAGACATCAGCTGTATTCCTACCCCCCTACCCCTACCCCCCACCCCGAGATGACTTATTTAGATTTAGGTTGTTGTTATTTTGGTTGTAAGGATAATGTTCTTTTCACAAATATTACCAGAAGTGTTTTTTATGGCGGCATGTTTACTTTTGGCTATAGAAACATAGCTGTAGTGCTTCACCGCCCTATAATGAGGCGTCTTTAATGATACCCTTGTAGGCCTACAGGTCAATATCTTACAAGTTAGGAAAAGTAAAATATTAATTTTTAAACTCTTGTTAAAGTATAAAGTTATTTTTTGTATAAAAGTATAAGGTTGATACAGTATAGTATAAAGTACTTTTATAAAACCTTTCGCCAATGCTGGCGTTCGCCTGGCGAAGCTTCGCCAGGCGAACATCTGAGTGAGGGAGGCCTTACTTTTAAACTAAGGCAGGTGTTCGCCAGGCCTGGCGAACGAAAGGGATCGCCAGGCGCTAACATCTTGGATTCCTGCTAAATCTAGCGCTTCGGCGAATGAAACAAAACGCGAGAAAAAGCAAAAGGTTTTAAAAGTACGGGCCATAAAGTTAACCTTGTTATAGTATAAAGTGTAGTATAGCATAAAGTATAAAGTTAATTTTGTTATAGTATAAAGATATTTTCAACTTCTTTGTTATAGCATAAAGTTAAATTTTAACTCCTTTGTCATAGTATAAGTGAGACTATTGCGGAAACAACATTTTCGTCTTCTCTCGTGTTAATAATTAAGTTTAGGTTATGTTATGTGCACTGCAGATGTAAACAAATTTGCGCTAGATTTAGCGGGAATGCAAGATGTTAGCGCCTGGCGAACGTTGGTTTTAAAAGTAAGGCCTCCTCACTCAGAGGTTCGCCTGGCGAAGCTTCGCCAGGTGAACGCCAGCACTGGCGAAGGTTTTTAAAGTACGGGCCTAATATGCTTTAACCAAGCATAAAAGGAGCAAACAGGGTCAAACCATGTCTAAGCTTCTCTGTAATAAAGAAGTTAGAAACCGGTATAGAAAACAAGAGAGGATGGGACGGTGATAATGCTAAAGGAATTTTTTGAATACTGCATTGCTATGACTAAGGCCTGTACTTTTAAAACCTTTCGCCAGGGGTGGCATTCGATTTCGCCAGGCGATCGGGAATTTCGTACTATTAAAAGCATGGCAAGTGTTCGCCAGGCGATCTTATGCCATTTTCTTACTTTCAGATTATAAATTAGTAACATATTGGTGTATAATATGATATAGGAACCACATTGTAATTTTAAGGCATCTGAAAATCACAATTTATTATGAAATAACGTATATACGTAGTTTTTTTTCAAGACCATCGATGTTCCAGTCGAGAGCTCAAGACCCACACCCCCGAGATGAGTTATTTAGATTTAAGTTATTATTTTGGTTGTATGGATAATTTTCTTTTCATCATGTGTTTTGATGATGGTATGTTTACTATGGGCTATGCTCCACCGCTCTGCAGTGAGGCATGTATAATGATACCCTTGTAGGCCTACAGTACAATATTTTATGTCAGTTTGGTATAGTAAAATGGTTAATTTTAACTCCCTTTTTAAAGTATAAAGTTGATATAGTTTAGTATAAAGCATAAAGTTAATTTTGTTATAATATAAAGTATAAAGTTAACTTTATAAAGTATAAAGTATAAAGATTAGGTTATGTTAGGTAAGGTATGGTAAGGTAAGAGGGTTAGGTTAGGAATTAACACGGCCTTTTTTATCTGAAATGGATATAGAAGAGGACCGACAGACAGTTGCTGGTTGCCATAGTGACGCTGTGAACTGCAGATGTTAACAAATTTGCATTTACCGCGTTTTTTCAGTCGCCGAAGCGCTAGATTTAGCAGGAATACAAGATGTTAGCGCCTGGTGATCGCCCGCCTTGGCGAACGTTGGGTTTTAAGGCGATCGCCTGCATGGGCGAAAGGTTTTAAAAGTACAGGCCTAAGCCATCTTTTTTGGCTGGCAATTAGGATCTTGCCAGACGGCTCCCGACGCCCAAAACCTGTCTCAGGACCGGAAGCGAGACACGCCGCCAAGATTCGCCCCATACCTGTGACCTAATGGGAATTGCTACAGTAGACTGACTGCTAGATCTGTCACTGTTGCACACAGTATTTTTTTACATATATATATATATATATATATATATATATATATAATATCACAGATATCTTTTGATATCTTATGATGGGTTGTGCTGCATTATAAATACCCAACATGAGTACGAATATGTTTTAAAATAACTGAGGTTGCCTTTGGTATCGCGATAAATGTTTACCGCTTATTCAATTCTTGTCGCACGAGAGGTGTCGCAGAGACCTTAACCGTCGGAAAAGACGGTTTAAGATCAATTAAAATTCAAAAAAAAAAAAATCAGGGATATGAGAAACCTAACTAGTAACTAAGAGAGATTCGCAAGTATGTTAAAGCAAATGTAAATCAGTTGAAAAGGTTTGTTTCGGTAGCAATGTTAAGGTAGGTTACCTAATGTTATCAATACCCATAAGGTGACTGAATACGGTTATATCATTATACCCTGCTTGAAAACAATTGC